TCTCTCTATTTTGGGCCGGCATGAAATGGAAACTGATCAAAGCAACTGCTTTGCCAGGGAACCAGTAGATCCCTGTCATTTCTGTTTCCTGAACAAGCTTGGACACTTTCCTTTTTTCATGCAATTCTCCTTTTGAATGGTTTTGTTTTTTGTTTTCGCTTTTCAGCGCAAGTAATTGTTTCATCATGCTGCAAAGGAACATTTCTTCCCATTGCGGCGCTGCAACATTAATTTCAGCTCAATGACATGTGCATAAATCTGCTTCATAAAACTCTTCTGAACACAGATCTTGAGCAGCTAGGCAGAGGACAGGGATAAGGGCTATAAATCAGAGATTTTAGCATTGTTTTCTGCAAGGTTTCCAATGACTGGCACATCCCTTCGAGGTCACCAGCGGCCCCTGCAACTAATGAATTGCTGTTGCAATCAGATGGTAAACCCATGGTATTTATAGAAAACAAGTCAGCACGCTTGTTTTGAAGGGGTTGGGGGAGGATAGAGATCATTTACCCTGTGATAGCCGTAACAATAGCTTGATTTTCTCACTCCTTTCCTTTGAATCTTCTCACTGATTGGCTTGAAATATTCAGTTCTCAGCTGGGGAGCCAATCAAAGAATAGCTGGTGAATAAAAGCCAGTGGGTGAAAAGTGAATTGGATTTAAGGGATGTCATCAATTTTCAGAGAATTTTGAAAGCTGGCACTGATTTCTTAGGATATAAACTGGCAAGGAGATCTGTCTTGGAGTAACATATGTTTGTGTGAAAATATGTGACCTCTTAAGGCTGACAAAACTCTTTATTAGGTGGTGTTCTGCTTAACTTGAAAACTTGCCTATTTAAATTTAAAAAATGGTTCGATGAATGCAAGCACTTTATGTACTTTGTATATCTAGTCCTAAAGGCTCAAGGAGGCATTCTCCATCTGCTTAGCTTTTTGTTTCCTTTTGCTGTCTTTTCTTTTCTTTTGTTTTTGAGGAATAGAATACAATGTATTTGCCACGACCAAACAAATATAAATATTAGTTGGGTTCAGAGTTTAAGCTGGGCCTTCTTAAACCAGTTCCCCATCACAGCTTAAGGCACAGACTGTCTTGATAGTTTTCACCCTAGAAATATTGCATGATATTAATGCTGTGACCCACCAAGGACATAACAAATGTTAGTTACCCTGTGCACTTGAATGCAAGGGCCAAACAAAACGTGATGCTAAATGCGTGACATGTAGGGTGGGTAGGACAGCTAATACCCTGGAAGACAGAAAGAAGATTTAAGGTGATCTTGACAGGTTGGAGTGCTGGGCTGAAAACAACAGAATGACATTCAACAGGGACAAATGCCAAAACCTAGGGAAAAGATACCAAATGCATCGTTACAAGATACTTGGCTCAACTGTAATGCAAGTGAGAAGGATCTTGGAATTGTTGTAGATCACGAGCTGAATATGAATCAATAATGTGATGTGGCTTCACAAAGGGCAAATGGTATTTTAGGCTGCATTAATAGAAGCATTTATTTATTTATTGTTCGGTTTATATCCTGCCTTTTTCCTACAGAGGGCTCAGGGCAGCTTACATCTCCTCCTCCATCTTATCCCCACAACAACAACCCTGTGAGGTAGGTTGGGCTGAGAGTCTGTGACTGGCCCAACGTCACCCAGTTGGCTCCATGGCTGAGCGGGGACTAGAACCCAGATCATTTGTGTCCCAGTCCCATGCTCTTCACCACTACGCCACACTGGCTCTCAAAGTATCACTTCCAAATCCCGTGAAGTACTAGTTCACCTTTACTCAGGACTCGTTAAGCCTCAAATGGAATATTGTGTCCAGTTCTGGGCACCACAGTCTAAGAAAGATGCAGACTAGCTGGAAAGGGTTCAGAGGAGGACAACAAGGATGATCGGGGAACTGGAAACAAAACCCTACGAGATTGAAAAAACTGGGCATGTTTTTCTGGGGTGTGGAGACAATTTAAAGGTGCATTCAATCCTCTGCTGATACACACACACACCCCAGCAGTCTGAAGTTATGCAGCTCAGATACAGGTCTATCACTTTAAAAAGAAGGTGCTTAGTTTCATCTAGACCACTGTAAGCATTCCCGTAGGACAGCTGTGCATTGCCCAAGGATATACCTTTCATGACCACTTTTTCAGGTGGAAAAATCACCATAAGGTGATTCTCTCCTTCATGTGATAAAAACCATTTTGTAAAGGAATTTCTTTCCTATTCTTTCTGGGACATACCATTTGTGATCTTGCCAGATGAGGCACGCACACTGACTAAAGTTATCACTTCTGTGGGGAGGAAAGCATATAAGGACAGCTGTCCCACTTCCAAAATAGTTGTGTAAATCAGTTCTGTGTATGTTTGATAGCCAAGTGGAATAATCTTGGCTTGTCCTTCTCTTCTGCAAAGCTGTGGGCATCAGGCTGCCTCTCCCTACCCTTTTTTTGCTGGTGGGGGAGAGCAGATGGCCGACAAAACCAGTCAAAAGATATGCTGGAGCCAGGGCAGGGCAGGTATGCATTCAATGGACTGGGGCAGCCTCCTAATTCCACAAGACAAGGGGATCTGCTCTAAGAGGCGGGTTTTAGGACAGCAAATTGTCATTTATGATTGTGCAAAGTGAGAACCTTGCTTAAAGAGTCTCCTGAAATTTCCCAGCAGGAAAGGAAACAACAAACAAACAAACAAGGCCGAGCTTGTTCTTCCCACTTTATGCCCATGAGCATGGAGCTGGTAGAGTTGGCAACCAGTAGCGTTGTTCTCACCCCACAAGATCCTCATTGCAAGGAATCTCTGTTTTGCAGCTGATTAATCTAGCAAAGGGAGCAGTATGGCCTGAAATACCCAGGAAACCTTGAAGGGCAGCGCTTTGTAGCGTGATATCCCAGTTCTCCAAGGATTATATGTCACGGCATTCAATGCCGTTGCTGCATGTAGATATTTGTTAGAGGTCATTGCAGGTTTGTTTTCTTGACTTGTTAATGAGAGCAGTGACTTCTGCACACTCATATTCCATCAGCCCAACTCTTGTTGTCATTATATATATTGTTTGCACCACCCCAACACGTGACCACAGATATGGAAAAGCTCGGGTGGACCATGATTGGAATGATATTATATTTGATTTTGTGACTGGATTCAAATGTCATCCAGGCCAACACAATGCCTGTAGGAGCTCTACTGACCACAAATACTGGTCAGATTTAAGTGTCATATTACTCTGCTATGCAACTTTATTTGGATCACCAAGTGCACCGGAGCTTATTTCCCACTAGTCAGCATAGGATTGCAACATTAGGCTGAAGACATGCCTGGAAGTTAAAGCTCCTTGAAGTCACTGGCATGTCCTTCTGAGAACATCCTCTTAGGTTCTCAGTGTAACCCACAGTGACCCTGTTTTCAGTTCCCTGCCTGAAAACCAAAACAAAATCATTCCAGGCACTTCAGGTCCCTCCCTGCTTGTATCCAGGTGCATGTGCCTGCACACACATGCGTGCACTAGTTCACTCCTGTGCTGTTCATCTACCTGCTACTGCAGTTCCCTGCAGAAGGACGCATCTGGGTATTAGGGTTTCCCATGCTTCTCTCCCTTACCAAACCAATGGATGAGAAGCCGCGTCCCTCTCCTCCACGGGTTGCTGGCAAAGGAATGAGTTTAACCGTGAGTTCATATCCAGATGGACTGAGCAAATCTCTCCCTGTTGCAGAACTGCCTGAGCTGGCTTCTAAAATGCGGCAGCGGCGGCGGCGGCGGCATTGCCGAGCCAGTGTGTTAATGTTGCAGCAACTGTCTGGAAGCGGTGCCCATTTGGTGTGGGACACGGTGGATGCCATTCTGCCAGGAGACTGGCAAAGGAATGGAGCCTGCCTGCAGGGAGAGAGATTTGTGAAAGCCTGAAGGTCTTCTCCAAGGAGACTGACCAGGCCCTTTATCTTATCCAGAATATACCTGGGGGAAGGGGGTTTCTAATCTTGTGACCTCTATCTGAAGCCCACCCATCGCCTTTGTGCTTTATTGTCACCACTGAATACCTAGCCCACTCCAGCCTATCTTTCTCTGGCTTTCTTGTATCTGAGCAAAAGGAAAAGCTCCTGGGGAGGGACGGAGGGGGAGGGGAGAGGCACGCAGAAAACTGCTCATGAAGTCTGCTGGCTCCCTTTCATGCGTTATCTTGAGCCCCCCAGTGCTGGCCACATTCCAGGGACAAACGGATTTATTCAAAGTTTAGAGCAGTTCGAAGGTTTTGTTTGCCCCTCCCCTGTACAAGTCTCCTGTGCCGCAGGCCGAAGAAGGACCCTGCAAACAATCAAGCCACTTTGTAACTGCTGGAGAAGGAGGTTGTTGTGTAGAGAAACTTTTGCCACAATAAAGAGAAGGAGCATCTAAGTATTTCCCCCCGAATCAACCCAAAGCCTGTTTACTTAAGAATCTAAATAGGCCCCATTAAATTCACCAAAATCCCACTCCTAACCATGGAGATCTGATTGCAGCATCTGATGACAACCCAAGCCCAGTTGCCTGAAGCAGTATCAGGTGTCCATTGATTTCAACATGCCAAACCTGCCACAGACTATTAAGGTTGGTCTTCTGCGGTTTCCAGGTAAGGGCACAATGCAGCACACGCTCATGGATCACAAGAGGCAGCTGCGGCTTTGACCTGTGCTACACCAGGGGAAAGGGGTGGTTCATCCGTGCTCCCATCCTCTCACGGCCTGGTGGTTCCCAGTAACAAGCACAGGCATTCTCCTTCACACACCTGGAAGACTGTGCAATAATCATAAAGCGAAACAAACAAAGCACAAAATAAAACAAATGGATGCACTCCATGGGGTTTTTAATATTAAGGAATCCATGCATTGTTTCTAACACTCACTCTTTCATCTTGAGTCTTACTTTTAAGGTTTTAAAAAATTTAGAAATGGTAAGACGAAGAGAATCAAAAGAACCTCAAACATTTAAAAAATTAACTGCCATATAAAAACTCACAAGACAAAGCCAGGAAATAAAGTTGCATTTATTTAAATATTGAGGTTTAAATATTTTAAAACAATCGTGAATCTGGATAGCTAGAAAGACGTTGTTGTTTAGTTCACACTATATGTGACATTCATATGCATGATCCTGAATCCTTAAATTGTAAAGCTATTTGGCAAACTGGGTTTGATTTCTTTTTCAGTTGGTCATTTAAGAACTACTGCTTAACCTTTATGATCCAGTTCGTCCTTTACCTTCCCTCTCTTCCCTTCTACTCCCTTGTCTTTAATATTGTGACTTTTAGATTGTAGCCCTGTAGGCAGAGAATTCTTGCCTTTATTGATAGTAGGTAAACCACTTGAGGAGCCTTTCCTGTTGAAGAATGAGGCGTAAATGCAAACAAACATTGCTGGTATAAATAAAATGTATCTAATTTGACACCTACATTTTCATTTTGGGCTGCATGAGCATTGCTTGTAACACACACACAGACTACGAAGAAGTTTCACACACACATCACATACGCAGACACGCACCCCCTCCATTTATTGATTTCAGTGTGAGAGAAAAACCTAGAATTTCTGCAGGGCTGAGATATTTCAAGTCAACAGATTGAAAGGAACAAAACCACCATGCTGCAACACGGAGAGTCCTAGGTGGGGGTACTTCACAAGGTCTATAAGAGATGAGGGAATAAAAATTTGAGGAATAAAGTAATCCATTAAGCCTTGTTCATTGTGTTCCGTCTTTGATTGATGAGGCTACCTTTACCTGTACCTTTACAGCACTACCAAGCCCACTTTCCAGTGCATGTACTCATATTTCAAAGTAACTTATTAGTAAGGTCAGGTACATTGAATTCTAGCAGTGTACTATTGCAATCAAAAATAAGGACCATGCAGCTCCTTAAAGATTTAAAAAAATACATTGAAGCACATGCTTATGTGCATGGTAATCTGCTTCCATATAAAAGCTTATGCTACAGTAACTCCATTAATCTTTAGTCATCTCTGTATAATGTTGTTAAGTTGTATAGGTTTCATTCTGGAAGGAAAATAAACCCAAAACGAAACACAAAATTGAAAGCAAGACTTGCTGGTTTTGCTGCAAACTTCTCACGGGTACCCTTTGTGCTACCATGGAACTTCAGTCTAAGAGCTGCAAGTTGGAGTCATGAATGCAGAAAAATCAAATTTACATATCTTTAGATCTATAATCTGGTAGCATGTAGTAACAACAAATGTTATCCAGTGTTCAAGATAAGCAGATCATATAAACCTAGAAACTAGATAGCTACTTACTTTTAATCGTTTGGACGACACCATTTTCAAATTATATTTCTAGAAATGGATTTAAGGTTGTGGAGTTTATTCATACTAATCTTTCAATCACTTAGAAAATGCTATATAAAATCATGTTTTAAAAACACAGGATGTCTGATCAATGTTAAGCACTGTGAAACTCAAGCACATGCTCTTTAGCAACAAGCCCTTTCAGAAGATTTTAAAGCTGTATCAGACATAATCTAAAGTTAAGCACTTTTAAATCCAATTGATTCCTAAGGGAGAATTCAACAGACTGAAATATCTCCATTGAAATCAGTGGTTTTGAAAAGTGCTTAATCCCATCTAGATTGCAAGCATAGTTCTAAGTCTTGTTCTATAAAATGTCTCAGAATTAGAGATCTCCTATTGCTAACAATTAAAAGACATTCTGAAGCTATTCTCCCTCTTCTTATTTAATGGTAAAAACACAGGAAGGCCACAAACTAAAGATGGGATCATCTTTACCTCCCGTAACTTTCACAAGTGAAGCAAGGGAAATGCACGATAAAAAGCTCCAAGAAGCCTCATCTTGAAGAACCCATTGTCCTTTTTATCACAGAAAATGTGCTAGACTAAACCAAGAATATCCCAAAAAGAAAAAATGATTATTTTGTGTGTGTTGAGCCTGGAAGACTGTAACATCCACTCACTGAAATCTGCAACAAACCCCTTCAAAGAACCTGCAACTAGTACAGCACAACCAAAGGTGCCTTTGAACAACAATCCTAGATAGTCCATGGCAAACCTTTTGATTTTCATGGTAGTTTGTTCTTTAAGGCAAAAAGAAATGCACCAAGGCACATGAAAAGCTTGCCAAATGTAGTTCTCTGTATTCTGGCCGTATGGATTTTAACGATGCTGGATTGTAACCTCAGATCACAATCCAGAAAATGACTACATATGTCCAAAGACTCCTGTACACAGAAAGGAACGTTCATTCACTACCCCCATGACAGATTGTCTATGCCACATCTTCCCTCACGCAGCACCGGGTGGGGGTGGGGGTGCAGTTCAAGTAATACAGGTCATAAGCCCTGCCGGGCAAACAGAATGAATCATTCTTTCAAGACTGGCTAGCCTTTCACAGCTAAGAGATCAGTGAGATCAGTAAATACACTTCGGAAACTGAGAATGGAAACAGTCACAGCTAGGAAAACCTGAGGGCAGGACCTGATGCCACTTTATGCCAAAAGAAGCCACCTTTTACACTATATTGGACATAAACAGGTGTTCTAACCACGGCTTTTATCAAACTGCAGCTTCAAACCTGTACCCACTTACCTGAGAGTAAACTCAATTGAGTAAACTTCACTGGACATTTCAGTATATGCAGGATTGTAGTGTAACAGACTTAGCCTGTGTATATTTATTCAGACATCCAATAAGTTCAACAGGACCTGTTCCCAAAGAAGTTGCACATGACCACAAGTGAAAAACAGCAGCAAGTTGCCAAACCTGACAATGACTGTAGTATGACTGTAGTTAACTTGTTATCAAATAAACTTGCTCCAGCAGATCAGCTGTGAGGGAGAATACATTGGACATTGCAGGAGTGGTTGATTCAATCATATTGCAAGGTCTGTGCAAGGTCTGTTTTCAACCAGTCTTTCTGCGCTGAAGTTGCTTCCAACCAAGAGGCTGAAAGGAAAGACTAAACTGATTTTCACATACACTGCTTCGAAAGATGTCCATACCTGTGCACAATCTGGAGCAACATAGACATCTTACCTAATCCTTTATGGTATCCTTTATGGTATTACCTTTACCTAATCCTTTACACTCCAGTAGGCCCAACTGGAAGCTATGAAAATATGACATTAGCCTATCTGGACTTGAGACCACTGTAGATAAAAGCTGAACTCTTCCAAAAGACCCTATCGGTGATTAGCAAATACCCAACTTCATCAGCAAGTAGTGAATAAGGAGTTGTTTCCCCTTAAGGACAGATTTATTAGAAGCAGTTTAGATCAACAACCTCCAAAGCCAAGTGAATTCTGAATTTCACCACTGCAAAGGTCATCCAAGAAGTGCTGAAGAAATGACTTTGCTGAAGATGTTGGATATCAGTGTTTAGAAGCCAGAAGTGCTTTAAAATGGCCTACTACATAGGAAAACTCTGAGTAAGATCAGATCCTTTGCCCAGCAACAACCTCCCCCCGAAAATGAACTCCAGGCACTGTTAAAATTTTACAAGCGGCACAGACGCAAGCACAAAGTATGGAAGGCCAGAATGTTCAGCTTCCTGGTCTTGAGACATCCTTTACGTTACCACCACTAATGCAATTCACCAGAGGTTCAACCGCTTGCTTGCATTCAAACCCCTTGCGCTCTTCCCATTGTCAGTCTGATGATAAATCCCAAAACATAAGGCAACAATCATTAACTTAAACTAAGCAAGCAAATAACACTGATAGGAGGTGGTGTTGGAAAACAGAAAAAGCGTGTGCTCCAGGAGAGAAGGCAACAGTGGAAAGAGACTACAAGGAGCCAGGGGCTGGATCTAAATAATTGCCTGATTTTTGTTAGCTGCAAGTAACACAATTTGCATCTAATTTACTTTAATATGATTGATGTTAAGCTAGAAGACATTGTAGAATAAATGGAATCTGTATCTTCTTCCTGTCCATTTGTAAAGTCATAAAAACTGCTTCATAACCCCTTGAATTGTGCCAAGACAGGTTCATTTCACCCTTAAAAGCCTAAAATCCATTGAATTAAAATAGTAAGTGAAAACTGCAAGCAAAAATGAATCTGAATGCCTTACTTGGTAACCTTGCCATTTTCAACCTCTTCTTAGCCAGCAAGGCCAAGAACTAGTTTTCCTGCAAACTAAAATCTGCTATTCACAGGATTCTAATGAAATCCTGGGCCCCACCAAAAAAGTAGCTTACCCTCCATTATCTAGGAACTGGGCAAACTTATAAAAGACTTATAACCTTTTTCAAAGTTGCAAACCGTTCTCAGTACTGCTATGCCACACAATCGTATTTTCTCCATTATTTATCTCCCCTTTCCTGCAAGAAGCAAAACAGATCAGCCCAAGCAGGTAAAAGTTATGATGAGAAAAAGAATCAGGTTCTATTAGGTTTTTCTCTTATTCCGATTTTCCCTATGGCACTTTTCAATGGCCCTTCCTAATTGGTAATATTTCGCATGAAAATCCACAGGTTTGGTAATGGGGGGGGGGGCACCCAGAAGTCAAGGGAAGTTATGGCTCCTGCTACGTTCTGGTTTTCTTGGTGGTTTTTTACCCAGCCCAAGAACATCAGAAGTTCTGGCAGAAAGTTTAACTAGACAGTGGAAGAAGTCTATATCCCATTTTAGCTGGTTGGACAACCTTCATGGATTTCAGTGGTTCTGGATGAACCCACCCACTGATCTTCCCCATGAAACATTTACATATCACTTGCTCTTAGCACCTAAAAAAAACAAGCTCTCATTTTCCATCCTAGCAATAAAGTTTTATTAAAATTGTTCATTAATGCTTCAGATGTAGCAAGAATGCATAGATCCCAAAATATACATATGTCTTTTTCCTTATAGAAATAGATTATTCTTTATAATAAAAAACTGTAAGAACATCTTTAACAGATTACTCAATCCATGACTGACAGTTACACGAAGTTGCATCATGTGTAGCCAGGTTTCCCAGCCATGTTTTAAAGATTGCATCACTACGGTCTCTCCTTCGCTCCCTTTCGCTCTATTTTATGTTCTTTCTCTTTAACTTAAATAACACTCGCATTCAACCAAAAAAGGTGGGGGGAGAGAAACCCTGCAAAAACATTCAGATCAGGCATTAAAGGGCTTGTGTTGGGTTTGGTGCCACTTTTTTCTTAGAAAAAAAATAACATTGAAAAATCACGATTCTTCCACGAGGTTGCAGAGGTAAATGGAAACCGCCGGGAGACCCCCCACGCCAGCCGAAGGCGCTGCAGAGCGCGCAGCTCGGGGCGGAAGGTTCCCCCATCATCCGAGTGCGAATTAAAGGCCAACAATAGATACTATATAGACAGATACATGAATGCAAACCCTCTGGGCGCGTTCCCTACTTTCTGCCTCCCACTCCCCTGATCCATTACCGTCCTAAAGCGGGGTCGGGGGGAGACGCATCCACCCGCTTCCACACCCCGTAAACCTCCGTCGTTGCCCCCCGCCCTCAAAACCAGTCCTTCCCCAGCCAACCCACCGCGCTGCTCCAGCGGCGTCCAGCTGTGTGCGCACAAGGGGGCCGGGGGGAAAGGCGGCTGGCTAGCAGTGTCCCGAGTTGGCCAGGAGCGGCTCGGGCAGCTGTTTGAACAAGTTCCGGAGGGTGCTGAGCTCGCGGGTGAGCTGCTCCACCTTTTTCTGGAGCCGCTCGTTCTCGGCCGTCAGTTCCAAGACTTTGTGCTGCGTCTCGAGGTTGCGCATTTTGGCTTTGTCGCGGCTCTTGCGCACGGCGATGTTGTTCCGCTCGCGGCGGATCTTGTACTCCTCGCTGTGCTTGTCCACGCACTTCTTGGACTTGTGCTTGCCCCCTGCGCCGCCGCCTCCGGAGCCTGCCGGGTAAATGCCGCCGCCGCCACTTCCTCCTCCGGCCGAGGCGGACTTGGAGGAATCGGACGGGTTCGGGGTGCCCGGCGGGCTCGACGACGACGACGTGGAGAGGTTGCCGCTGCTGCCGCTCGGTACCGACTGGTAGCCCAGGTAGGAGCGCACCGTGCTGCCGTAAGGCGAGGACATTCCCCCCAGGCCGGGCCCTGCGCCGCCGGCGACGCCTTCCTCCTTGCGGGGCCCCTTGCAGGAGTCCAAGTGCTCGAAGACCGGCTCCACCTTGGTCTCCACCATCTGCGGCGGGAAGCAGCCCAGCAGCGGCCCGCCGGCCTTGTGGCTCTGCCCGACGCCCGGGTGGTGGTGCTGGCTGTGCCTGGCCAGGCTGATGTAAGTGTAATCGGGGTGCTGCGGCTGCTTCTTGCCGCCGCCGCCGCCGCCTTTATAGTCCTGCTCCGAGAAGAGATCGGAGAGAAAATCTTGGCCGCTGTTCCCGCCGCCGCTGCCGCCGCCGCCGCCGCCGCAGACTGGCTCAAAGTTGCCCCCTGCTGCCGTGGAAGGAGGCGGCGGCGGCTGCTGCTGCGATGCTAAAGGGTCCAGGTAAGGGCTGAAGTCGATGGCTCTCTCGTGATCGCCCACGCTGAGCTCGGTCATGGAGCGGGCCCCGGCCGCCCGCGGGTGCAGCTTGCTCAGAGCAGCCAGACAGTCCGCCTCGTAATAGAAATTAGCCACTTCCATGGATTTAAAGGCCGGAGGCTGGATGGGAAGGCATGCCTGTTCCCAGGCCACCAGGCGTTGCATGAAAGCAAAAGGAGGGGAAAGGGGGGAAGGGGAATCTCGGCGCCGGGCTGCCCCCAACGCCTCTGGACCGCGAGAGGGGCGCCTGGTCGCTGCAGTCGCCGGGGGCGGGTCAGCAGCTCCTGCGGGGCCGGCCGCGCTTCTCCCGCTCGCTCGCTCGCTCGCGGCTCCCCTTAGCGGCTTCCCAAGGCGGGGCTGTCCCCCGGCGAGCGCCCGCCTGGACGGATGCCGACGCGCTGGGCTGCGGGCCCCTGCTGCCGAGTGCTGCCGACCGTCGGGCGACTCCTCTGGAGCATCTGGCGCGGAGGGCGTGAGCGACTGGGTCCCCGCGCGTCCTCTCCCGAGGCGCCTCTGGCTTTGACTTCACGAAAACTTCTTCGCGCTCGCTTATATAGGGGCGGCGCACGCCCGGCAACGGGCGCGTCACGCACTGGCCGCTTGCCACTTGCGACGCGCTGGAGCGCCGCGGCCCGGCCTCTCGGAGCGCGTCCCGGGAGCCTGTGCGTGTGTGCGCGCCCGCGGAGCCCTGGCCATTCACAACAAAAACAAGGCGCGCTGCGGGAGGGAGGCGAGGCGGCCGGGCGCGCTGGAGCGGCCTCGTCGGCGGAGGGCTCGACTTCGTCCCGGCCGGAGCAAGGTTTTGCCGCGCGCGTGAGCGTCTCTCCCTGCTCGCGCTCCGTGTTCCGGCCGAGCCCAGCCTGACGCCCGTCCGCAGGGCTCCGACTGCCGCCCTCCGCCGCCGCAGCCATCTGGGGACGATGGAGGTTCGGGCTCCGGCCGCTCCGGAGGGCCTTGGGTGGGGGACTTCTGCCCTTCGCGGATCTCCCGTATCCCAGGCAAAGGCGGTGGGGACAGAACGCTGTTAGGACGAACTGTCTTTTTTACTCTGCTGTTGGAAGATCTATCGAAAGGGTAGGGGGAGCTGAAAAAAGAATTTCCGTTCCCGTCAAGGACGCAGGCTCAAGAACCGCTCGTTCTGCTTTGGTGCCTGTCGCGCTGAGCGGGACTTACTGGAGAGGACACAAGCCCGTGTAGCAGCAGGGCGATCCCACGCAGCCCGGAGAAAGTCCTGTGGCACAGAGTGGGGCACCTCAGGACCCTGTTTCGACTGCGTGGCAAGCGCGGTTCCCCTTCCCTTCCACTGGCTGCTTCTAGCTGGAGTTGGATTTTGGCCCCACTGTGGGCTTGCTTACTTTTGGTGTTCCCCAATCTGCAGCCTTGTAATGTGTTGAATTACAATTCCAATGCTTCTTGGGGCTAATGGGAGCCATGGTCCAGCACAGCCTGAGGTTGCCAGGTGGAGAAAGGACTGAGACCTGTAATTGAATCCAGTTAGACTTGCTTTGCAGTAAACAAGCCTGGGATTGTGTTGGAAATGCTTGCAAATGCAACAAGGGGCCCTGTCTTAGCTTTATTAAGCAACATCAAAGGTACAAATAATGTCTTGAAAAGTAGTTGCAAATGGGGAGATATCTCCATCATTCCACAAGCCTAAACCTGATGTCAGAAAAGACAAAGTGACCTGGCCCAGGTTGGCCAGTGCAGTTCTGTTTATTTTCTCCTTCAGAACCCTGGAAGTTGCCACTCCATTTGCTCAGAGGTGCCTGTGATTATGCTAAAGGAGGAGGAACCAGGTCAAAGAGCTTCACTTATTGATCTCAAACAGAATACAATAAGGAGTTGAATGAGTTTGAAGTGAGTGATAAGGATTGGTCATTGATTACTTTTTATGATTAGGCACTGGGCTGGCATGTCTAGACATCACACCTCCAGCTGGGAAGAGCTCCTTAATCCCAGATCTGGGTGTGAGAAGATGGAGAGGTGAAAAAGGATCCTTTGGTGTTCAAAGGAATGCTTTTTCTTTTGCAATTGCTTCACTTATTTCTGGTCTGTGTCCTGCCATGGAAAACAGTTTCTGGTGCTACTGCAAAATACCAGATTGCCCCCAAAAGGTGTTCTGAACCTCCAGGTCTCTCCTGGTGAGGCCATTTCTGTTTCACTTTTACTTCATGGATAGGCATTAGGTTAAATTGTCCTTGACTGCGCCTAGCAAGGTAAGGAATCCATTCCCACACAGAAAGCACTCTCTTTTTTCCACCACAAGATTTCCTGACTAGTTTACCATTGAGGGGATCCACCACACCAAAGGGTATAGCGTGTTGCAGATGCATTCCTGGCAGGGCAGTGACATTAAATGGCAAGATACAGTCCCAATGGACTTTTGAAGTCTCTGCCACCAGGGCTGAGGAAGGACACCTGCACCAGGAAGGCCTCAGAAACCTTGGAACCAATGAACCCCGATGCCCTCTTTAATTAAAGACACCCACCTTTGGGGAGTCGAGCATGAATTTTCCCTTCGTTGACTCCCACAGTTACCTGTTTTCAAGGTGATGATTCACTCCCAGGATAAAGGATACCAATTTGAAAAGAAACATATAATTCAAGGAAGTAGGCCTGTCCTCTGCTTTTGCAAAGGCATGGCAGCATTGCATCTCAGAATGATGTGAAGAAATGCTGCGGTGTAAGAAACTCTGCAACATTAAGCCAGAGGAACAGGTATTGCATTATGCGATTTAAACAGTCAACTGCTCATAGAGGCTCAAACCTCAGAGCTTTAAAAAGAGGAAGAACTAAAAAATCGGGCCATATAGTCCTATGTCTTTTCTCAAATTGATTTTCTTCATTAGAAGAATAACCATTTCTAGAAGACTTGATGGCTGTTCTCAGATAAAGTGCACCAATTTGACTCTGTAACATTGCTTCTTAGGCGGGTTTGGATAAAATACAATTTTGTAAGTAGGAGCCCTGTCTTCCTGTGCTGCCTGCTGTATTTGTAAAAAGATTAGAAATCTTAAGAGGGGACTGGTGGGCGACTGACTTCCAAGTCTGACATAACCTTTCCCAGGTCTGATGTTGCTGAAATTGACAAATGCTCTCTAACCTTGCCAGTTCGAAAGGAGTTCAGTGATCCGAGAGCGAAGAAGATCTGTGTTACGAGCTTAGCAAATTTTCCTTTGGCCAGTAAGGGCCCACAATGAGAAAAAGGCTCGTCAGTCACTTGCTGTTACGGAAAACAGGAAATCGGGCAAAGGAGCTGCACCATGTCTCTTAACAGTGACCAAAGTGGAAGTTAAAATGTGGGAAAGAATATTCTAAAAAAAAAAAACAAAAAACAGAACAAAGCAAAAACAAAAACAAAAATCGTGCAAGCTTATACACAGTTCTAGAGAAAAAGGTCTGGAGGATTTGGGGCAAAGCATATCTCATCACAAACAGTATTAAAATGCAAGGAAGTAACTTAAAGTGTGCATTCCTCTTTTTGTTTGTGTTTGATTGTTTCATATGTATTGGAGAGTTGGAGAGAGCTCCAAGGTTTTTTCAGTATCGCATCTGGTTTAAGGAGCAGGACCTTGGCATCATTGTCAGGGGGTCCCACGGCAAGGTAACATAGAATGCCACTTCCTCTCTCAAGCAGGTAGGTTGGCAATACAGATGTTTATTCATTCCACAGTCACTTCACCAAGTAGACCTCACCACCCACCCTTGAATTCTTCACAGTCATGGCAGAGCATCCCTATGGGTCTCAGCCACCTCATCAGGGCTGGTAGACCCCCTGTCTGCATGCCTGCCTGGGCAGTTCTTTGGAAAGTTGATCAAAATGCTTTTTCTGTGGTTTCTTGCTCATGGGTTTCTGGCAGATGAATAGCAACTTCATGGGCAGGGAGGGAGAGGCAAGTGGGACCACAGGAGCTGGTGCAGCTGGTGGCTTGGAGCAGGGACAAGTCCGTGTCTCCTGGGGAAGCCTACCTTTCTTTGTCACTTACTTGAAGTCCCTGGCATTGGGATGACTTCGAGCACCCTGTGGCAGAGAGCACTTGCTTCTGCCTTCTGAGCCAAGAATTGGCCTTCCTAAACCTCCAGCTGGGGTAGGGAATGGGCCTCTTTTCTGTCTGTCCTGGACAGCCAACTGTCTTGCCCTCTATAAGCTGTTGTTTTCCCCCTTCCTCTCCTTTGCTGCAGGGATGCAGGTGGCGCAGTGGCTTAAACTGCAGTGCTGCTGGGCTGGTTGATCGAAAGGTCGCCGGTTCGAATCTGCACAACGGGGTGAGTTCCCGTTGCTCCGTCCCAGCTCCTGCCAACCTTGCAGTTCGAAAGCATGCAGATGCAAGTAGAGAAAAAGGTACCACTTCGGTGGGCAGGTAACAGCGTTCCGTGCACCTCGGTGTTTAGTCATGCCGGCCACATGACTATGGAGACTGTCTGCGGACAAATGCTGGCTCCCTCGGCTAGGAAACGGAGATGAGCGCTGCCCCCTAGAGTCAGGCATGGCTGGACTTTAGTGTCATGGGGAAACCTTTACCTTTACCTCCTTTGCTGCAGCCTTCATTCCCTTCTGTCTTCTCAACTGCTTCTCCCATCCTCTCTCTCTTCCCTTCCGTTCTTTCTGCTCCTGGTTTTCCATAGACTGACCTTGCAGTAGTGAGCTGCCTGTCTTCCTTTCCTGATCCTCCATCCAGGTGCATAGCAAGCCAGCCAGTGGTATCTGATGTCTGAAGCTGATGCCAACATTACATACCCAGGCAGATGTCTACAACCCTACACAAATGTACTAGGGATCCCTTGAGCGCTGTCCTTCTCCCTGTTGATCCCTGTCTCCGATAATCCACAAATCCCCTTCCCATCTTCCTTGCATGCCATTCCAAGTCTCTACCAGTCATCTTTTTAAATTCTCAAAATATGCTGATGGTCTCATCCAAATAACTTGTGCAAATTTTTTAAGGGTGCAAAAAATTCCTAGCATTCCCCAGCTAGCATGTTTCATGCAAGCAGTTTATTTTATTTATTTGTTATGGAATTTATAGACATCAGAAGATATTGGAGTCATGATCAACACATTTGAATACACCCAGTAAAACAGGAACACCAGTGCAATAGTGGCTGAATTCAGCTGTCAAGGAAATGCTTGCCTGAAATAACTGTTTTTAGAAAATGCCGAAAGCAAAGTAACAGGTGCATGTGGGAAGGACATTCCTATGGTGGTAACCACACTCCAAAGGCACTATCTATTCCCGAGAGTTTTCAAGTGTTTCTCTGTCCTATGTAGTTCATTTTCCCTTTATCAGGACTGACTGAAAGAGGCAACCCATCTATCTATCTATCTATCTATCTATCTATCTATCTATCTATCTATCTAGAAGGCTTCTATGCCGCCCCCTTCGCCAAAGCCTCGGGGCAGCTCACAACCTACTGTGGATGCAGTGCAGCATTCCACTGCAAAACATACAAAAAGATCATGAACTGCAGCAGGTCAAAGCTGGATCTGAGCTTAAGAGTATCACTTGAC